TAGACTGCACAGCTCTAGAGTATTTTGTATAATCTCAATGGTGAGGTTAGTTGAATTACCCAAGACCCTTGTTACAAGATTCTTTCACCAAGAGGGTGATCTCAGGGCAGATGATGGAGGTTTATTTTCAGAACATGGACTTGTGAATAGATATTTCAACTGTCTGAAGAAAGCAGGTTAATATTGAGTAACTGAAGTACTTAACATTTAGGGAGAAAAATCTAATTGTATGCCAATGTATCAACAAACTGTTTTTTTTTTTTTGAGTTGGAGTCTCACTCTGTTGCCCAGACTGGAGTGCAGTGGCCGCTCCTGGCCACCGCAGCCTCGACCTGCTGGGCTCCAGTGATCCTTCCGCCTCAGCCTTCCAAGTAGCCGGAATTACAGGCATGCGCTACCACGCCCGGCTAATTTTTTTTTTTGATTTATTGTAGAGATGAGGTCTGGCTGCCCAGGCGGGTCTCGAACCCGCGGGATCAGGCAATCCACTCACCTCAGCCTCCCAAAGGCACGGGATTACGGGCTGTGCCACCAAGCCCGGCAACAAGCTGTTTTAATATATTTTTATTTATTGAGAACTTGTAGCTATTTTAAAAACCTAGCATAAAATTGTAACAATTCATTTATTATAATTACCTGCATTTTAGGAAGTTAAATCTATAAATTGTAAGTGGTTTAGGTTTTCTTAAAGTGATCTCTAAGTAGGGAACATTTAATTACCTTCATCAGGTCATAAATCTTATTGTTTTTTATCACAGTCGAAAGACCATAAATAAACCTTTAATATGCCTGTATTTTATCATTGACATTTATGATATGTTTTTGTGTATTTTGACAAAAAATACCAAGGTAGAAGGAAAAAGCTTCCTTGTATTTGCAGCTGTAATTAATGTTGACATCTGTATTTATGTATCACAAAATCTTGTGTAAACATACTTCAGTGGGGTCAGAGGAATGTTTAAAATAAATGTACCAAGACACCCTACCTACAGTGCCATTTAGAACAAAATAGTAACATAAAATGGACCAACTAAGCACACATTTTAACAACACTTAAACAGCCCTACGAGACAAGTAGTTCCCCATAAGACTCAACTCCAAACAATTGTTTAATACAAGAGTTCCATCTAAAGGTGCTAAAATTTTGCTAACAATTTTGAAAACCAAATGGGCTCACAGTTTATATATGTATTTTTAAACAAAGATTTTCATGAAATGTTTTATGATAGCCACATTTGGAATTATATTAGACAATACTACTCTCCTCTATATGTAAATTATAGAATTGGGCATTAATTGCACACAACATGCAAATGCCAAAATTCACTGGTGAGCCAAAAAAGTGTTTAAATAATTGAAGAATTGTTCTGCTGTACAGCAATGATTCAATGTTCAGTCACATCTCTTTGAATCACACAACCCTTCCCTCACCTCTGATCACAAGTGTCACGTTGCATGAGGAGTTTGTTACAAACATAGATACTTTGCAAGTAGCAGATGGGGATTATTCTTTTCTTCTATATGCAAAACTTACATAGTTCTCAAGAAATGGCTGAATCATGACCACGTTGACAAGGGAATACAAACAAACAAAACACTAGAGTCCAGGAAAACAAACAAATCGTATTTAATCTCATGATAAAAGAAAGAACAAAGAGAATTTCCCCAGAAGCAGATCGAAGCGCTGATGAATTTTTTTGGTTTTTTTTTTGAGTCAGAGTGTCACCCAGACTGGAGGGCAGTGGCATAATCACGGCTCACTACTCCTGGGAGCCATGACCTCCTGGACTCAGGCAATCCTTTCACCTCAGCCTCTCAAGTAGGCGTGTGTCACCATGCATGGCTAATTTTTTGATATTTTATAGAGACAACGTCTCGCTATGTTGCCAGGCTGGTCTCGAACTCCTTGTCTCAAGCGATCTTCCTGCCTCGATCACCCAAAGTGTTAGGATTACAGGTGTGAGCCACCATGCCTAGCCTGATGATTCTTAAACTACCTCTTCCAACGAATTCTACCACCTTAAAGCAATTCTCTTCTGCTGGGCTGTTTTCGAAAGAAGAATGACAAGATCTTTGAGAAGAACACACTATCAAATATGTCTGTCCACTCCAACCAGAGTTCTCTCAAATTGAGCCACAGAAAGGCTGTTTTCCTGTACTTCATAGCTAACTATGCACTGGCAAGATCTTTTGCCACTAGTCAAATAGCAGGAGACTTGAAAGCACCTCCAATCCTAAACGTTTTTTCAATAACCTTTACATAAATGGTGTGGTAAATCATCTACATCAGATAAAAAGTCTTTTTTTTTTTTTTTTTTTGGCAATTCAATAACAGGCTGGCAGGGCTGGGGGAAGCATGTATCAGGTCATTCCATGAATCTTTTGAGATGAGTTGGGAACAGCAGGCTGTCACCTGTGGCCAGCACAGAAAGACACAATACTGTTGACGGAATCAACTGTAACATGTGTTTCTGTTAGGGAACACGTGCTTGGAGAAAACAAAAGGGCCTAGATTTATTTCCCCTACAGCTATAAGCCTTTGAAGCTTTTTTGGATGAACCCTCTATATTAAAAAAGTCAAAGCCTCTCCTCTGTTTTCTAGGTTGAACATAAATCCAAGGTACGACAGACATCTCTGGAAAGAGAGGTGGTCTAAATGAAGAAAGATGTGGCAGTGCTTGCTTTAAAATGCCACCAAAGGTCAATGAAATAGTTTGTGCAATTTTTTTTTTTTTTGAGATGGGATGATGGGTCTCGCTATGTTGCCTGGGCTGGTCTTGAACTCCTGGGCTCAAGCAATCTGTCTGTCTCAGCCCTTCTGAGTAGCTGGGATTACAGGTATTCACTAAATGCATTTGGCTCTGTCAGTGCAAAACTTAATTTCCAGTTTGAGCTTCCTGGACTTAGAGAAGGTGTGACATTTTGTGAAGGTTACTCACATTTTATTAGACTTGAGACTTTACTCGTTCTGGGTATAACGCTACATTCTTTACATACATAATCTTATTAATCTTCTTAACAATTCCATGGGGTGTATGTGGTTAACAAACTCAGAGAAGTAAAGTGATTTCCCAAAAGATTCCCAATTAGAGCAAGGCAGAGCTAAGATCAGGCCCTGATGACTCTATCTTGAAAAGCTTAGAGTTTCCTCTAGTCCATCTGCCTGTGCTAGAAGTTCTCTACCCTGACTCCACTGCAGAATTGTCACTTGTAGGCTTCTAAAGCACAGTGCCAGAGCCCTACCCTAGATCTATGAAACCCCCATATCTTTGGTGAGGTCTTAGCATATATATATTTTAAAAGTTGCATGAGGCTGGGCATGGTAGCTCAAGCCTGTAATCCCAGCACTTTGGGAAGCTGAGGTGAGGAGATTGCATGAGCCCACGGGATCGAGACCAGCCTGGCAACCTGATGAGACCTCATCTCTACAATAAAATAAAAAAATTAGCTGGGTGTGGTAGCGTGCGCCTATAGTTCTGCCCACTTGGAAGGTTGAGGTGGAAGGATCGCTGGAGTCCAGCAGGTCGACACTGGGGTGGCCGTGAGCATGCCACTGCACTCCAGCCTGGTCGACAGAGTGAGACTCCAACTCAAAAAAAAAATAATGTTGCATGAGTGATGATTCTGCTGTACACCCAGGGATCGCTAATCAATGGATTCATTTAAATTAAATTACTGAAGGCAGATTAGTCTAGAAAGATTAAATATTATTATTGAGTTTTAAGACCAAGGCTAGAAAGAGACAACAGTAGTATCAGCTTATATATGGTCTAAAGCAGTGCTCCTCACACTTTATTGTGCATTTGGATGCCATGATGATTTTAATAAAATGCAGATACTGACTCAGTGGGTCTGGAGCAAGACCTGCTTCTGTATTTCCCATAATCTCCCAGGTGATGAGTCACTGCTAGTCTGCAATCACATCTTGAGTATCAAGAACCAGGGGACTAAGAGCTCACATGAGGGGCTTGTAAATGCCCACTGGGTGACCAAGAAATGAAGGCTGAACTTTTTTTTTTTCTGGCTTGGAGTCTCACTCCATTGCCCAGGCTGGAGGGCAGTGGCACACTCACAGCCACCCCAGTGATGACCTGCTGGGCTCCGGCGATCCTTCCGCCTCAGCCTTCTAAGTAGCCAGAATGCCAGGTGTGCACTACCACACCCGGCTAATTTTTTTTTTTTTTTTTATTGTAGAGGCAAGGTCTCACTAAGTTGCCCAGGCTGGTCTCGAATCCACGGGCTCAGGCAATTCACTAGCCTCGGCCTCCCAAAGTGCTGGGATCACAGGCTGAGCCACTGAGCCCAGCCAGGCTGAACTCTTAATACTATTTTTTAGGACACTTTGGAACCGCCTTCACAAATAACTGAGATGGCAGAGTTTGGGTAATGGTGCCTACTGGTCTCCCCACCCATTCCTTCCTCCCCTCTGCATGGCTTTGCCAGGTTAATAAGGATGTCAGAAGTTGTTCTGTGACAGATATTGAGGTATTAGTAATGTTTAATAACCTCAAGTTTTAAAACTGACTTTCATGCAACTGAAGCTCAGAGTGGATTTTTCTTCCCTGCAGGTCAATATTAAGATTTTTTTGCATAGTCAGAAAAAATGGTCATCCAAAGTCATGCAGCTGACCCATGGCCAGCTCTCCCTAAGGAAGTTTCTTCCTTTCCCACCTGACTCACCATGCTGTGTTTAAAATTTAAAAATTAGTACAATTTCATTATAATGATAATTTATGAATTTCTCTAAAATAAAGTGTCTTGATTAAAAATTGGTACTAGTCCTGACCTGCAATGTTTTGGGTAGAAATTTATATTACAAGCTCAAAAACCAGAGCACAAGGCACTAGGAAGTTTCTAGACTGTAGTAAGAAAAGTAAGCTGAAGAGGGAAACTTCTCAAGTCAATGAAAACACTAAAACCTAGCACAAGTTGGATAGTGATCAAAAAAAGTGATTTCATTTAAATTATTTGTGCCTATGTATATTTTAAAAGATACTCACTGCTATGCTTCCTTCTGGGAGTTTTGCTGGCTGATCTTTATAAGGCATCTTCTTAACTTCAAAGGACACCAGAGATGCAAGAGCATAGGGATCATTTTTTCTCTGAAAGTTTAAAACAAATTATTTAAGTGCATTCCCTATAAAACTTTTAAGAGTTATACTGGCAGTCACCTATTAATAATTGTTTTCAGTGTTTTCCATTTCCAAAGCAAACTTTACTCCTTTTTATTCTTCCTCTTCTCTTATTTACTTTTTTCCTCCCATTCATCCTTCCTTCCATCCATCCATTCACCCACTCGTCTATTCATCCACCCACCCATCTATCCATCCATCCATCCAAACCATCCATCCATCCATTCAAACCATCCATCCATCCAAACCATCCATCCATCCAAACCATCTGTCCGCCCATCCATGAATCTCTCCAAATATCTAAGCCATCATTCATTTCCATTCTATCTCTAAAGACAATTTGTCTCATTAATAAATACTATGTACAATAAGGTTAAAACAAAAATAAAAAATCAAGGTCCTAAGAAGGAGTAAGCACAAGGATTAATATAGTGACTGCCAGTGAAGAACCGAGGAGAGACATGGTGGGTTAAACAATTCTTATCTGATAGAAGGAACTATTTTAGGAGAGAGACTAGTACTACGTTATAAAGAAATTTATCACATTTTACCTTATACAGAAGACGCACATCAGGGTTTCTCAGCCTTGGCACTATTAACATTTTGGGTTGGATGTGGGGCGGGGTCGAGGGGGGTGGCGTCTGTCCTGTGCACTGTATGATGTTTAGTAACATTCCCTGGCCTCGTCCCACCAGATGCCAGTGGCATCAATTCCCAAGTTGGGACAACCAACAATCCTCAAGCATCCCCCGGGGAGCAAAATCACCCCCGTTAAGAACCACTGACTTGGAGCCATATACTGGTTCCGACAGAATTTTCAGCAAAAGATCTCTTTGTTTAATTGGTTCTCATATTAACTGCTGCTAGAAGTCAAAAGTAAAATATTTCGGAATAACTCAGGAAAGCTACTTCAAGAACTTAAGCTTCGGTGGCTCTTCTCCATTTGAATTGAGACAATGATTAGACCTGCCCAGTGCTGTGCTATAGCTTGAGATGACTGCTGCTGACTGTTAAATTTTCAGGAATTGTGAGTCCCAGGAGTTAAACAGTACCATTACTACAACTTAAATTAAATAAATGTAAACTTAAGTAAATTATATTTTTTAAAAGGTAATAAATATGCAAACCTTAACACTTACTATTTTATTACATTTTACCATTATTAATGCCTCTGATGTTATTTGTATCTATTGTTTCAGGGGAAACACTACAAAATGCTGTGCTGCTGGGCATCTCTTTCCAGTTCTGCATTCAGTGGTAACTCACTGGTAGCTGGAAATGGGCCATGATGGGAATATTTACACCATGGAAATTGGTAAATGCTATTTATCAGAGATTTTGTTTCTTTCCAGACAGCAGTTTATTAAATATTTACCAGCACATCCTTGTCTGGAATCCAATGTTGGGCCTTATGTCCCAAGGCCAGTCCAACAGGTTGCATTATAATACATTTTGTTTAAATGTTTTTGCAAGGTTTTTTTTTTTTTCTTTCCCCCTGTGGCTGAATTTTTTCTCCCTTTAGTAGACCCTCTTTCTTCTACATGATAAGGGCAGGCCATAGTATGTAACTTTTATATATTTCAAGTTACTATGTCTTTGGAGTTTTCTTTCTTTCTATCCCTGCCCTCCAGGATAAGTAATCCTATTCATTTGGAAAAATTCCTTTTGGGGTGTTATTCTTCTAATGTTCTCTTCTTTCCTGGCATTTCCATTTTAGTTGAAAGTTGTATTTTTGTTTGAGAGGTATTTTTTCAAAATTTCGAATCTTTCCTTATAAGACCTTGGGTGTACGTTGTGATTTCCAACTAATTTCTTTATCTTCCTTATTGGTAGACACAGGAGAAATTCTCGTAATGAGATTCTGCATGTAAGGATTATAATTACATGCTCAAATGAGTGTCCACACTCCCAAACCTCTAGTGAAGAAGTTTCCTTTCATCTCCAAGTTCAATAAAAAGTTGATAGAGGCAACCCCTTTAGGTTCCCTCCCACTGTGGGAGCTTTTCTGTCCTCACAATAAATCCTGCTTTAAAAAAAAAATTGATAGAAAATATTTCATCTTCTATCTTGAAGTTATGTCTTTGATAAGCAAATTGTTTGAAAACTCCACCTCTGCATCAACTCTAGATAAAAGCTTTTCTCTTACCAGATTCTGTACTTATGAATATGAAGTTTCTTAATGCACAAGAGACAACATTTGAATTCTAGAATGTAAGCTGTGGAGAAACATGTTTCTCTGAGGGAATTTTCTCTCATCTCTTTCTTTCACCCCTCCTGCTGTTGGTTTCATTTCAATTCCTCACATTTTTAATTCATAATACTTTTTTTTTGAGTCAAGTCTCACACACGCTGGAGTGCAATGGCATGATAATGGCTCACTGCAGTCTCAACCTCCTGGGCTCAGGCAATACTTCCACCTCAGACTCCTGAGTGACTGGGAATACAGGTGCATGCCACCATGCCTGGCTAATTTTTTATTATTTTTTATTTTTTTATTTTTTTAGTTGAAGTCTCCCTCTGTCACCCAGACTGGAGTGCAGTGGCCACTCCCGGCCACTGCAGCCTCAACCTGCTGGGCTCTGGCGATCCTTCCGCCTCAGCCTTCTGAATAGCGGGAATTACAGGCGTGCGCTACCACGCCCAGTTAATTTGTTGATTTATTGTAGAGATGAGGTCTCGCTGCCCAGGCGGGTCTCGAACCCGCGGGCTCAGGCAGCTAATTTTTTAAATTGCTATTTTTTGTAGAGATGAGGTCTCTCAATGTTGCCCAAGCTGGTCTCAAACTCCTGGGCTCAAGTAATCCTCTCGTCTCAGTCTCCCAGAGTGCTAGGATTACGGGTGTGAGCTATTGCACCCACCCCATCACCAATCTTTACTGTTGTTTCTGATGGTTCACAAACCATTATACTTTGCTGGGCTTCAGAAATACCTGAGATCAGTCTCAGAGATTCTGATTCAGTAAACCTGATGTGAAACTGTATTTGACATTCATTTTCTGGAAGTTTCCCATTGTTGTTGAATTTTTAAATTTTTCTCTATTACTTTTTCCCCCAGCTAGATGATAACAAAAGTGGCAGGTATGTACCATGGAATACAATGCTTATGTCTTCCACAGCACCTAGAACAGTGTGCAGAGGAGGGTTTAATCCACACTGGTTGACCAACTGCATGAATGGAGGGTAAATGAACACAGCTGATGTTTTGATCACTTGGCGACTGTCCCATTTCAAGTACCACTGTCTATTTCAATTCAATTGCTGAATTGGACGCTTCTCCCTCCACTCCCTTAATTAGATTCGTGTGTGGTATTGTCCAGACATGGACTGGTTCCCCCTATACCTGGCTTCTTCCTGGCCCCTCCCTCAGGGAGCAGCCTCTGGCCAAGGCTGAAGGGTATGCATATTCCCAATAATGAGTCCTGGGATGCAGGTGATGAAGTAAAGGTGAAAACAACGTGGGCATCACTCTGAATCAATGTAATTATACACACTGTATAGTAATTTGATTGATTAGCTTGCTTGCTGAATTATAAAACTGCTGCTTTATTTCCCTGAGGCACTGATTCTTCACTGAACTGTCGCCATTGATACTTCCCATAAGTATTACTAAATTAATGTTTTTCCCTGCTGGACCTCCAGCTGATTTCTTTGGAATAGCTGATTTCTTTGGAATAGGTAAGTATTAGGCTCAAGTCTGCTCAGATTTAGGGTCACCGTGTTACAGTTAGAAAGGTCAGGAAGTTGTAAGGGGAAGTAGTGACATGCAATGAGGTGATATTGACATTGCCTGTGCAATCAAATTCAGCCACACAAACGAAGGGAACCCAGGGCCTGAGCAAATTATGTGGTAGGCATAAGGCTTGTAACATTACAACTCACAGGTCAAGCTATTTGTTGTTTCAAATTTATTCTCCCAAAGCAAGGCTTCTTTTACCCTTTTCAGCAGGAAAAAAAAGTAGCATCTTTTTCATTTTTTAAGAAAAGCTCTGGAGTTCCCAGGAGTGGGAAATGTGAGTTACTAGCCTACAGTCAGCTGGGTTGGAATGAAAGATAGGTTAGTCATGTGTTGTAGGTCAAAGGCATGGCATAGGTGGGTATTTAATTCACAAAAAACAATTATGGGCAGAGTCCTAATATTATTTCCACACCCATAGTTGAATGTTTCCAGTTGTGCTCTTTATATAACAACTCTATTATTTTTATGTTTAAAATAATCTCATCTTCCATACAGCAGTCTACTTATACAATGGCAATCATTGCCATATTGCAGGCAATTTAGGACTGAGAAATTAGCTGGGGTTAATATCCCTTGAAAATATATTCTTGAATCTGTAGAAAGCCTCCTTGCACTGATAAAGGACTTTGGCAAAGTCTCAGGATATAAAATAAATGTGCAAAAGACAATTGCATTTCTTTGCACCAATAATAAACAAACAGAAACCCAAATAAAAAACACAATCCCAGGCCTGGCTCGGTGGCTCAGTCTGTAATCCCAGCGCTTTAGGAGGCTGAGGTGAGTGGATTGCCTGAGTCTACGGGTTTGAGACCCACTTGGGCAACTTGGCAAGACCTCATCTCTACAATAAATCAAAAAAAAAAAAAATTAGCCGGGCATGGTAGCACGTGCCTGTAGTTCCAGTTACTCGGAAGGCTGAGGCGGAAAGATCGCCAGAGCCCAGCAGGCGAGGCTGTGGTGGCCGGGAGCAGCCACTGCACTCCAGTCAGGAGTGACAGAGTGAGACTCCAACTCAAAACAAAACAAAACAAAACAAAACAACAAAAACACAATCCCATTCATAATAGCCACACAAAAAAATGAAATACCTTGGCATCTTCCTAACCAGAGATGTGAAAGACCTTTACAATGAAAACTACAAAACACTGCTCAAAGAAATCAAAGATGACACAAACAAGTGGAAAAATATCCCATGCTCATGGATTGGAAGAATCAACATTATGAAGATGTCCATT